AACTCCAGGAATTTGTTTTCACATTTTCTGGGTCCAAATTAGTTACTTCTAATGCCAGGTATACTAGGACCTGATGGCTTCTGGGTAGTTTTATTTATGCTAGATATTACGATCAACTGTGATCTTCTGCCACTGCAAATACGAGTTCTGATGATAGTACAGTGGGGTGATAGTGTCCTCCACTCTCCCCTAACTGCCCCTTGTCCATTTACAAAACCTTTTGGGGGAAAGTTACGGAGGCTGGAGCAGACAGAATCAAGAGCAACTGTGAATGGCAGCCAATCAGCTTCCAGCCATTTTTTTCAACACTTAAAGGATAAGTTAACCTTTTGGACAAATAATAAATGTACATTGTTTTGCAGGTAAAAAAAAAACGTGCATTTATTATTTTTGTCCAAAGGAACTTGGAAAGCATTAGTGTCATGAAGGTCTCCTGCAGATCTGTCAGTAGATATGCTTGCCGTACGGGATGTACCGTCAAGATATACTGACAGGAAGCTTCAATGAACTACCACGGCACTCCACAGTGCCATGGTAGTTCACTGAAAACTACAAGCCAACAGTCTCTAAGGCTGTCAGGACTCATAGGCACTCATTCACAGAACTGTGAATCAGTGACACGGCCGTATGGGCGGTAGCCTGCACGGTCACCCGGTTCTCAAATATGACAGATAGTACGGGGAAATGTTTCTCCGTACTATCTGTCAGAGGGAGAGGGGGGTGGCAGGCTTGGCTGAAGATATGGGAACATGTTACACGTTCCACCATAAAAATGGGTGGAACATGTAACATGATCCAAAGGTGTACTTACCTTTTAACAGAACAAGCTGAAGTTGGAAGCTGATTGGTTGTCATGCAAAGTTGCACCAAATTCTGCCTGCTCCAGCCTTAGCAAAGGGAGAAGAGGAATGGGTAAAGGAGAGGACTGCCCCTTGTCCTTGAATGCAACTAAAAACTATCTGGACTGAGGATACCCAGCATTAGAGGTATCATTTTCATTTTAAAATGGAACTTAAACTGATTGTAAGGTTTTTTTTTTGACAAACATGTTATAGTAATATAGTTTTGCACAGAGCGGCACCGAACCTCTTCTTCTGGGGGCCCCCACTGGTGCTGTCCGCTCCTCCTCTTCTGTGTCTGCCTCCCTAGCAAGCTGCTTGCAATGGGACAGACATGCGAGCTCAATCCTGAGTTGGGCTGCGTATATCTATTGACACACACCGCATGGCCCAGATGCCTCATTACATGATTTGACTGACAGTGGCAGGAGCCAATAGTTTCCACTGTTGCCTAAATGTCTAGGAAGGAGAGAGAGTAACAGCGCACAGCACTGGATCGTGATCGGGCTCAGGTAAGTATTTAGAGGGGAAAGCTGACAAAGTTTTTTTTTACCTTAATGCAGGAAATGCATTAAGGTTAAAAAAAAAACCTTAAGCCTTTACAAAAACTTTAGGGAGTTTTACTTCCTTTTCTTTCAATGGATCCTGTCCCTTGCTGACATCTTCTCTTGGGTGCTGGCCTTCAGCCACCTTCATTGGCCAGTTTGGGATGATGTCAGTACTGTGGAGGAGGCAGTCATTCCCACACACGGACAGAGCCAGCAGTATATGCTTAACTCTGCATGTGGGGCTCAGTTTACATTGCCGTAAAAGATAGCAAGCAGGCAGGTAGGTGTATTTTATTGCAGAGAAGACACTGCATGTCACTTCTACAATACAAAGCCTGTCTGTTTGCGTTTTAGTTCTACTTTAAGGACCCGTCCACATCACTTGTGGTGTGGGAAACACGTGTTCCACAATACTGCAGTACCATGCGGTTTAGTGCACATTTCTGCACATTTGGCAGCTACTGAAATAAATGGGATGTCAAAAATGCACAAATGTGAATGTTATGGTGTAAACTGGCCCTAAGCCCAGGGTTCACATATGTGTGGGCTGGTTTTTACAGTGCAATTTCTGCACCGTCCAGTTTGTCTTTGTTACTGTTTAGGTGCAATTCTTAAAACCTATGACACTGGAAATCACACCTGACCCTTTTGGAAATGGCTCTGCGGATGGTCCGCACATACTGTATATGAACCGGCTCCATAGAAAAGGCTGCACGTTCATGTCATGTGGTTCAAAAGACATCTAATTCACATATATGTGAATTGGGGCTTATTCTTTTATTGTAACCAGTAAAAAGTGGTTCTAAAGGCAGAAGGTTTTTTTTTTTTTTTTTTTTTTTAAACCTTAGAATGCATTTAAGGATAAGTTCACCTTCTATAACATGTTAGATCCTGAATACGGATGTAACATGTTAAGAATGCACTGGCCCCTGCTTTGACAGCTAGCGGGGATCTTTTTCCCCTTTACTAGCTGTCACATTTTTTTTCTTTTAAACGCAGCCTTGTGAGGCTCTGGCACTCATTCACTGTGTTCTGGGAATGAGCAACTACAAGTCTTGACAGCCTTAGCAGCAGTCAGCTTGTAGTTCTCAATGAACTACCTCGGTGCTGTGGAGTGCCATAGCAGTTCACAGAGAGTCTTCCTGTTAGTATATCTGCTTGCCCGTAAACCACATACGAGCAAGCAGATATACTGACAGATCTGCAGGTGCAATAGTTTACAGGCTCCTGCAACAAAAAAATAAAATGCACGCTTTTACCTGCAAAAAAAAAGTGAATTTATTATTTTTTGTATAAAGGTGAAGTTATCCTTTGGGTAAAAAAAATTCTGCATGCAGCTCCCTACCCCACTTATGCTTACCTGAGCCCAATCTTGATCCAGCACTGTGTGAGAGAGCAGCGGCTTTCTACTCTTTCCCTCCTCATTGGCTCAGACAGCAGCGAGAGCCACTGGCTTCTGTTAACCACAACCAGTGAGGAGGTAGCAGGGCCAAGCCATGCTGTTTGTGTCGATGGATGAACAGCTGGCTGGCTGTGGAGTGAGCATAGTAGGTGAAGGGGGGAGGGGGGCAGTCCAGAAGCGTTAGACCCGAAAGAGGAGGATCGGGGCTACTCTATGCAAAATTACTGGAGAGAGAAGGTAAGTATGACATGTTTGTGTGCAATTCCCACTTCAGCCCCGCCCCCCCTCTACTCACCTGAATCCAATCACAATCCAGCAATGTGCATGAGAGCAGAAGCTCCCCAGGGTCTCTCCCACATTGGTTCCCGCTGCTGCCAATCACAGCCAGTGAGGAGGGAGTGGGGGGTGCTCTGTGTATCCCATAGATACACAGGACGACTCAGGAGCAAGCACAAACAGGAGTATGCCCACAGCAAGCAGCTTGCTCTGGGGACACTCAGCAGGGGCCTCACTAAAGGAGAATCAGAAACTGAGGAATGCACAGAGCAGTTAAGTATAACATGGTTGTTATAAAAAAAATCTGAACTTTTACAATCACTTTAAGCCGACTGTTGGATTTAAGGCAGCAGAGAATCCTGTGACTGACCCTCTTCTGTTAACAGGTCACGTTACAGGCAGTTTAATCAGCAACAGAAATGTTCTTAGTGGAGGAGAAGGTGCATCATCTTTAGTGCAGCTGAGCCAGGAGAGCAGAAGCTGTTAACCTTTGGAGCAATTGTGTTCCACATCAGGAAGAGGACAGGCCAGCCCTGTGAAGATTTCTATAGACTTCAGCATCCTACAAATTTATCATGACAGGTAAGTGGCGTGACTAAAGTGGCTGTAGAGAAGAAAAGTGTTTTTGGCTAAGCTTCACCTTTAAAGTGAAGTAAAGCCGGTGTTGTAGTTGGCGTCCTCCCTTCCAGTTTGTTGTTCTACAACTAAGGGATGTAGTAGTAGCAGGGTGGAGCATCACATCACGTTGCCATGCTACACGGCAGCCTCCGGAACATCCACACAGTGGGAATGCTGCAGCTCCAGGATTGTTCTGTGACGGCTATGTATTTTTTAACCACTGTGAGTGCATTCATTTATTCTTAACCCCTTCATGCCGAGCATACGCAAATATGCAGCCTCTCGGCAGCTGGGCCTTGACACTGAGCTGCCGCATATTTGCATATTGTTTGTAAACAAACACATGCTGAGAGCGCGTCCCCTGTGCGCTCCCAGCACATGTATTGGTGTCCCACAAAAAGGTCCTGATCTCTTTTTGTGATCGGGACCTTTTCTGATCATGTGACTGCCAATTACGGCAGTCACATGACCCTAAATCCCGCCTAGCCTCGGAAAACTCTTAAAGGGCCAGGAGGCGCTGGCGCAAAGGGGTTCCTAAATGTTAACGTTTTGGGCATGCTACACTATTAGTGTTTATTCCTTGCATGATTTACAGGTGGAAACACGGAGTTGGAGCAGAGGCAAGGGCAGAATCATCTCTGCACTACAAACCAGACATTTGTTTGGGGTTAAGTTGGCTTTTTTGATATAAATGCTCTGGTAAGAGCTCTTGCATGTCTATCGTTTTCACCAGGACTTTAGAGGTATCATCTGCCTCCTTTCTTCATTCACTGAATGTGGGGTTTTCTCTTTTGATGAATTGGGGTCACTCATTGGAAATGTTTTTTGGAGCACAGACCTTTATTTATTTTATAATTGATGGACTTTAACACTTTTGTTGTATATTACTTTGAGGGGTTGTATCCATTCCTGTATTAGTTGCTTTTTATGTATTATTCAATCTGAGAGCAAAGATTTATTCTGAATTTAGTAGTAGTAGACCCTGAAGAGGACTGATTCTTCACAATCCACACGTCCACTTCCGTATTGTAGTATTCAGCACCTTCCCCTCCCCCAGCACCAGAGTACACCTAATCCTGACCAGCTGATCACCTACACATTGCACGAGCCAACGTCTGTATAACAGTGGGAGGTAGGTCACACTAATAAGAGGCGAGCATGCTCACACATAGCCACCACAGTGCTCCTCCAGAACACCAGTGTGCCGGGTACTGGGCACACTGCACAGCTCGCCCGTCCTCCCCCCACACACACCAGGCTCACCATTACAGACTACACACAAAGCCTCTCAGTGCTTTTCTGTTGGTTCGGCCATACCTTCAGCTTGAGAATATCTACAGTATCCGCCATGTTTCTTACACGCCTCCGTAGCCACACTCCCAGCAACCGTAACTATTGGCCCGTCGCACACGTGACGTCACGTCCACAACAAAGCGCGGGAGTTTCCACCACGTTTCTGGTTTCCGAAACCACCAGAAAATCCGCCAGCGCCTCCGCCGCCTTTCCCACCACGTAGAACTCTACGACTCAATTGACTAAAACCAGAGCTCACCTATCGCTACACAACACTCGTTTCTCAACGTCCCGGTCACCTGACCAGGAAGTGTTTTTCATTGGTTAACCACGTTGTACGGTAGTGAGTCTGAGCCAAACAGAGAAAAGGGTAGGAAGGACACGGGAACCAATCAGAGTTCAGCGCACGATAAATACGTCAAATCCTCGTCGCCATCTTTGTTAGGGTCAGGAACCTCATTGGGATTGCAGTAATAGGGCTGGGTGCCATGTTACGTGCGGAATGTCGTCACTTGTGATCCGCCCTGGACCTTTGGTAGCGGAAGTGGCGGCGTTTCCTGGAGACCGGTGACAGGCGGAGGCCCTAGCTACAGGTAAACGGTGTTGGTGGGTGATGTTGTAGGTGTTCTGTAGAGTGTGGTGTCTGGTATTACTCTGTATAAGAGGCCCATAGTGCAAAGGGTTGTTTCCTGCGACTGGCCACCCTCAATGTTTCCATTGCAGAGAAGGCGCCGGGCCTCTATCACGGGGCCTCCTAGGATGTCCTTTGTTTAATGTTAACCCCCAGGTACATCTACAGAGTACACACTGACTCCGCTCTGTGTTTACCAATAGATCATGACGTACAGCTGAACTCCAGAAAGATAGAACATGCACAGAATGGTCCAGCTCTGAATCGTACATGTATGGGATTCATACAACCTGGATTTGACTTGAGTCTCTCCTCATTGGCTTACCTTTACATAGGCTATCCCCGCTCCAGTCCATCATGAATACTGCTGCCAGGCTCATTCACCTTACCAACTGTTCAGTGTCTGCTACCCCCATCTGCCAATCCCTCCACTGGCTTCCACTCGCCCAACGAATACAATTCAAAATACTAACTTACAAAGCCATCCACAACTCTGCCCCCCCAGCTACATCACTGACCTGGTCTCAAAATAACCAAACCGCTCTCTTCGATCCTCTCAAGAGCTTCTGCTCTCTAGTTCCCATGTCACCTCCTCCCATTCTTGCCTCCACGACTTCTCTTGAGCATCTCCCATCCTATGAAACTCCCTACCCCAATCTGTCTGGCTATCTCCTAATCTATCCACCTTTAGACAATCCCTGATAACCTTTCTCTTTAAAGAAGCCTATCCTGCTTCTACCTAGTAAACTGCCATTTATTTCCTTTATCAGCTCACCCCCTCCACAGCTATTACCTTTTGTATCACTCAACCCTTCCTCCTAGATTGTAAGCTCTAATGAGCCGGGCCCTCTGTTTCCTCTTGTACCAAATTGTATTGTAACTGTAATGTCTACCTTCATTTTGTAAAGAGCTGCACAAACTGTTGGCGCTATATAAATCCTGTAGAATAATAATGTCCCTCTCATGTGGCCCCCTGTACAGCAGCACTCAGACTGGGGGTGGGAGAGAAGCAGGCCTAGGAGTCAATCAGGTGTGCTGCATGCAAATATAGTGACAAGGGGCAGGCTGACAGGAGGAGAAATCAGGAGGAGCTCACCAGTTTGCTTCACTGTCCAATCATCAGGCCTGCATACATTTAACTACTTTAACCAAAGGCCAATTCTAACACTTCTCACATGCATGTAAAAAAGCAGCATTTTATGTAAGAAAATTACTTAGAAACCCCAAACATTATATATGTTTGTTCAAAGCAGAGACCCGAAGGACTAAAATGGTGGTTGTTGCAATTTTGTTATGTTTCAAGATATTCGTACAGCCATTGTTAAAATTGTACATTTTTAGGAAAAACATTGTTTAATGAATTTTAGAGCACACAAACACGATACAATAACTAATTGTTTGGTTAAATATAAAAGATGATGTTACACCCAAATAGATACCAAACATCATGCTGTAAAATTGAATATCCCCCATGGAATGACGATCTAGATAGGCAATGCTGTAAAAGCCTTTATAGGTTGGCAGTTTAGAGGTACACGGGAGGCCTGGTGCTACAATTATTGCTCTCACCCTAGCATTTGCAGTGATACCTCACATGTTTACATCAGCGTTCACATTTGCATGAGGGAACAGGAGTGCTTTAATTTTTATTATTTATTTTATTTAAAACTTTTTTTTTTACACTATCCCTTTATTTTTTTTTTATCAACTTTATTGCTATCACTAGAAATGAATAACATCCCTTGTGATAGTAATACAATTGACAGGTTCTCTTTATGGAGAGATTTGAGGTCTTTTAGACCCCAGATCTGTTTTCTGCTCTGAAAGTATCTGATCAAACTGAGATTGATTTGATCAAATGCTTTACAAGCCACTAACAGCTTGTAAAAATCAAACTGAAACCAGAAGTGATGAAGTACTCGTCGCTTCCAGTTTCTTACATCACATAGGGGAGGCGGGTATAGATGTACCTTAAGCTGGCCATATGTGGGTCGAATTATGAAAGAATTTTCATTTCGAAAATCTTTTCTAAAAATTTTCGTTCAAATTTCGCACCATTAGTGGGCCACAGCAACGGCCGGTTTTCAAGCAACCATGGAATTTGTGTGATCGGGCACGTTGGAAATTTTTTTAAAAACTAACTAATTTCTAATAAATGATGGGAGAAACCTGCAAGAAATGTAATTAAAAAAGAAATGAGCTGTGGCCTGGAAAGAGAAGAAAATTCTTGGCCACGAAAATTTTCTGTAGCAATATGAAGTGAAATTGAAAGCTAGGTTGGTCATATTTTGAAATCAATGGTGGCATTATCGGATTACAGAAAAAAAATTCTGATTTTCTAAAGACAATTCGTTCAGAATTTGACCCATGTATGTCCTGCATTACTCTCTGCTCAGTCCAAGAAAATACCAAGCAGCGCCAGTTCTGAGCACCTCAATTGGATGGGGGAGCCTGGTAAAGGCAGCAGGGCGCCCTGTAGAAGTGATTGAGCAACTGTAAAGCCACTCCAATCAATTCAACATGAAAGTCATCACCAGCTGAAAAGTTTGATACCGGAATGATGCCTGCATGTGGAGGCATCTTCCTGATATACCACTTCAACCGGAGGATGTAAGAGTACTTCTTAAGGGGTTGAAGTGGTTAACTACTTGCCAACCGCGCTATAGCCAAATAACGGCTACAGCGCGGTTGTCCATTTCTGGCAGGGCGTCATATGACGTCCTCCCACGCGTCCTTAGTGGCACACACTCCGCACGTACAATGACACAGCAGATCACCGAGTAAATACAGTTGCCGGTAATCGGTTGCACTTTCCTCATGCTGCCACAGTGTGAGGAAAGTACTGCCGATAACTGGCAAATGACACAGAGGACATCTGCACTGATCATCAGGGTACTGCTGATCAGTGCCCAGGAGTGCCGCCTATCAGTGCTGCCTGTCAGTGCAGCCTCATCAACGCACATCAGTGAAGGAGAAAAATTACCTGTTTACAAATTTTATAATAGAAACAAAACTTTTTTTTTTTTTCTTCAAATTTTTTGCTATTTTTTGTCTATTATGCAAAAAAGAAAACACCCAGTGGTAATTAAATACGACCAAAATAAAGCTCTATTTGTGTGGAAAAAAAATGATAAAAATTTCATATAGGTACAATGTTGCATGACCGGTCAATTGTCATTCAAAGTGCTACAGCAATGAAAGCTGAAAATTGGCCTGCGCACGAAGGGGGTACAAGTGCCCAATGGGTAAGTGGTTAAACAGACCTTGTATTAAAGTGCAGGTCTGGTTCATTACATTACCCTTCTCCACCGTATACAATTTGCAGCATTAAAGCTTTAACAAATACCATACCCCTGGCTTCCTCACACAACACCGATAAGAAGGTGATGCCATAATTCTTCCAGCAAGATCCTGGGAATGCTTAGAATCCCAAATCTCACATGAAGATGTATTTGCTCTGTGCTGAATCATCTTGCTGGGACCTTATAGTATAAAGTTGACTTGAGAGTGGAACTTTTTTTTTTTTTTTAAATAAGTGATTGTGAGCAGGCAGGCTTTTTATTTCAGAAGAGACACGATACGCCATTAAATAATTTTATGTTTTATGTCAGTTTGTTTTTATAGCATGTACACTGACTCTTGGGAATAGGCACCCCAAAAACCCCAGTGAGGCTCTGTTAAAGTGTACTTAAACAAAAGAAAAGTAATATATTACTTGTCAATCATTGGATGTGATGCCTGCATTTAGTTTTCTTTTTTTTAGGCTTTTACTCCTTTATTTTCACCTGTTGATCAGCCAGATACACAACTCCTATCTTTGGAGGAGCAACATATCCACTTTGGACAGCAGCATTGCCAATCAATGGAGAGGGTAGTGTTAGATGGACTAGTAGATTTAGGCAGACTTTACATAAGTGACTAACAATGTAAAGCTGGACTCCATCTAACACTTATTAAGCTGTTTTAGCAATAGTTTTTTTTTTTTTTTTTACATACAAAGCCATCCACAACATCACCCCCAAATACATCACCAACCTCATCTGCAGATATTGTTCAAAGCATCCACTCTGTTCCTCCTAAGACCTCCTGCTCGTCAGTTCCCTTGTTACCTCCTCCTACACTTGCCTCCAGGACTTCTCAAGAGCCTATCCCATCCTCTGGAATTCCCTGCCCCAGTATATGTCCGGTCAGCTTCTACCCTGTCCACCATTAGGCGATCCTTGAAAACTCTATTCAGGGAATTCTACCCCACCTCTACCTAAGAACTGTACTTGAGTCACCTCCATCAGATCATCCCCCACAGCTATTACCTTTTGTACCACCTCCCCCTCCCTTTAGATTGTAAGTTCCATGGGCAGGGTCCTCCTATTCCTTCTGTATTGTAATTGTACTGTCCCCCTTTATATTGTAAAGCTCTGCGTAAATTGTTGGCACTATAAAAATCCTGAATAATAATAATAATAACCTTTTTGGATAAAGGTTTTATAAAACTATAAAAGCTGACAATTGTAAGTACCCCTGTCACTGTTAAATGATTTGTCTCAAGTCTGTAAATACCACCTTTGCTGGACAGCTTGGTCTCTTAAAGGTAGTTGAAAAACAACAGACTTACTGGCCAGATCACCAGGTAATACACTGCTACGGCGGAAAAACAAAGATTGCTCTGTTAATGCTACTGGCAAACAGTATCATATATGTCATTTTTTTATTTTGACCATAGTTAAAATCTAAATCTGAAACCCAGTTGTGCCCCTTAATGTTCCTTTTCACTGTGGCTAAACAGGTGCTTACCAAATTGTAGTGGTCTTCCATCCCTAAGATCACACAGGTGAAACACAAAATGACCTAAAGGAAAAAATGGCTGGGATCCTCAAGGGCTAAATGCATTCTAATGTGTCTGGACTCCTTGGGTTGAACATTATTTAATAAGCAACTTTGATTGCTCCTTATTGGCTCTCTAATGTATTTAGCCATCCATCAAGAAAATCAATGAGCGCCGCCACTCTTAACCAGGGTGGATTTGATTTAAATCACTAGTCAGTAAGGCTTGATTTAAATCCTAGTTTTCTACATAAAGACTAATTCTTGCTGGTATAACTTTAATATGCAAGTAGATGAAGATTTTTAGAATAACAACTTTTCATATTCGTTTTTTTATCCCCAGTTTAATATATTTGGACAACTTTTCTGTTGTACTTAGGAAGGAGAAAAATAATAATTACCTTAATAACAATTTAAATAGATTTATTCAACTGAAACAATACCATTCCAGCATATGTTATTTGCTTAAACATCCATGTTTGTTAACTAATTTGGCTAAACAAAATATATATATTTTATGAAACTTAGACTGTCAGCCCCTTCCTCCTCACACTTAGTTTCACTTTCTTCTTGAGCAGATCTATTCCACTCCAAACAATCAGAAAAATATTGTTTCTATTCTATTCACTGAACTTCTTGAAACTTAGCACTGAAGGGTTTGATTCTGTATTCATAGGTTTGTAGAAGTTAGGATTAAGGTCTTTTTCTTAACTCTGTTCATGTTATAACATTTTTGCTGTGAAGAAGAGGCTTGAGATCTCCGCTGAGTCAAATTCAGTTTTGAGAACTGCAAAAGTAAACCAAGCATCTGTGATGATATCTTGTAGGCAGAGAAACTGCCAAATAATCTTACAAAAACCTCTGGAAGAGCATGACATTGTGAATGGATTCATGGAATTTATTTACCAAAAAAATTAAACATATACAGCCTTATTCTACATAATTAAAAAACTAATCTTTATTTCATGATGGAATAACCTTTGGATGGTAATATATTTTCCTCAAAAAGCATTTTATTTAAAAAAAAATCCGATTTTAAATAAAAAAAAAATCCAATTTAAATTAAAAAAAAAAAAATCGATTTTTTTTTTTTTTTTTTTTTTTTTTTTTTTTTTTATCATTGATTTTTATCCACCCTGCTCTTAATTATACTTTGCCTTTAGTTATACTTAAAATTGTGAGGGAAGGATCAGTTTCTACCCTAAATTTCTATTGTGCCAAAATATCTTGTGTGACCAGTCTTGTTGCCTTTTTCCATGAGGATAGACAATACACTCAACATTTTTCCTCAGGTTAAGAGCCACTGTCATAATTGTGTTTCAGGCCAATGTCTGACTAGCGATCCTTTACACCAACTGGATCTCTAAGTAGACAAATGATCTGTTTCTACACAGTTACTTTCTTGCTGACTGTAATGCTACATAGTTTCCCTCACCAGTCAGAGCAGCAGTGTGGCACCTTGCTGGCCCAGCTGTAGGGACAGGTGAGTGATCTCTGAGTAGCTCTGTGGTTGGCCAGTTGTCTCCAGCCTCTGGATCATTAAAGTGCCATAGACTGGATGCTTTGATTGTTTCAAAAGAAAGATGACTTTGCCTATGTGATCTGCTCCTCTATGGTCAACCTTACAAAGAGAAGTAATTGTTTCCTACAGGTCACATCCTTGGGAGTTCCTATTTGGAGCATGTTGGGTGATCTGAGTTTTCTAGCTCAGCACTAGTGTCTCCCCCAGGTAGAGGAGAACAGTGACTGAAAGAGAATTTTAAAGAATATGTTCATCTTTGTGCAATAAATAAATGCATGTTTTTGCAACAAAAAAAAGTGCATTTTTTTCTCAGGAGCCTGCAGGGCATTGCACCCACAGTCAGTGGATGATGGTGCAATGTCAGGCTCCTGCAGACATCTGTCTGTATATCTATAGGGACAGATAGTTGCTGAGCTGCAGGAAGTGTGAATGGACTAAAAAGGGTGCTGATCAGCATATTCAGAATGTACACCTCACATCAGAAAATCACCTCCTCTTGAGAACAGTGATACCAGAGATAAGTACCAATGAATGTATATCGCCAAACAAAGGTAGTCGGTTATCGCCACAACTGCATCATTGTTATTTATTATACAGTATCAAAGTGTCCCATTTGACTGCACAGTGCATTCATTACTATTTGTGGGCATTTAGGTGTGTATTTTACAACTCCCACTACATATTGGACTTATTTCTGCTTTTATATGTGTTTGTAAGGATATATAACAAGTTCAAATAACCCTTTTGTCTTTCAGAATGAATGTTGGGGTGGCTCATAGTGAAGTGAACCCCAACACACGGGTGTTGAACAGTCGAGGAATATGGCTGGCTTACATTATTCTCGTGGGTTTTCTTCACATAATCCTCCTAAGCTTTCCCTTCTTCAGTGTTCCTGTTGTCTGGACCCTGACTAATGTCATTCACAACCTTGTAAGTTATTACTTTTAAATGTACTTTATCATTTTTAATATATAGAAGTACATTTGGGGTAAACTCTGTATTTTTTTTCTTTTTGTTTTGATTTTGAGCCTTTCTGCAATTTAAAGTTTTTATCTCTAATAAGGTTTTTTTTTTTTTATAGATCGAGAAGGCAACAGTTAGGTTTTATTGTAATATTTGGGAAAAACTATACTGAGGTTAAAAAAAAAAAAGCCTTTCAGTGCTTAGGAATGTTGTGGCAATGGCAGTGTTGGAATGTTGCCCCTCTTGTTGGGGTCCCTTTCCTACCAATGTATAAGCCAATAAAAAAACAAAAATGTTTTCATTTGGGTCCCTTTAGCTGGCTAGTGGAGCTGGGTGCTGAGTTATTTGTTTTTCAGTTAGTAAAACTATAATCAGAATATTTGTTTATGCCTGCCCATGTCCACATTTCTTGGTACATTTGTAATCTTTTCTTGTAAATTTTTCTGACAGGTTATGTACCTGTTTCTGCACACGGTGAAGGGGACTCCATTTGAAACCCCTGACCAGGGCAAAGCACGACTTCTCACTCACTGGGAGCAAATGGATTATGGAATCCAGTTTACATCTTCTCGCAAGTTCCTCACCATAACCCCAATTGTTTTGTAAGTCATTGTTTTTGTGCTGTTTATGCTACTCTACAGTCAGTAGGGGAAAAAAATGTTAGCAGGCCAGAAAGGACATATGGAGTCTCTTCTGCTAAACAACTATAATTACTAACTTTTTTTTTTTAAAGGTATGTATAGTTTTGTTTTAGTTGATCTTCCTGTCGTAATGCCTCACCTTTAGCCCTCCGATTACTTCTAATAACTTCTGGATAAAACCACGAAAGAGTAGATTAGCATTTAGCACATGGTTGATTGTGACCAGCAAAGGTGTGCATGTTTTGGGCATATCAGAGTAGGGATTGTCAGACTGTAAAGTATGCACAGCAGTACATAGCACTTGCATTCTAGAATGTGGGGTGTAAGTTTCACGGTGGGTAACAACTAAAAAAAAAAAAATCAGGTTTCCTAAGTGAATAAAAGATTGCTGCTTCAGTTTTACCTGCCCCTATTGAGTATAGTAATAATGGTAGATCTATAAACATGTTGCAGTCCTTGCTGTACTGGATAGGTTGGCAAAGTAACATTTCAATTAAAAGCAGTTGTAAACCTCAGACATGAAATATAAACAAAGCATATCTCTATATGTACTTGTCTCAATTAAGAGAATTGTGTGTCATTTCTGTCTGCTGTTTTGTTTCATTGCTATCATAATGAATCGCTTCTGACACGTTTTCCTGCACAAAGAGAAATGCTCCTTTTCACGCAAACGGACCAATCGAGTCCACTTGTCCATTTTTCAGGCATACCCAATCGGACCCCTCATTCTTCTCTTTGGAGCAGTAGATGTAAATGGACTTGTGTCCATTTACACCTGCTTGTCTCCAGTCTGATCCAGCCAAAACAAACAGGAGCGATCAATTCCCCTGCATTTGATAGGATCGGAGGGCAGGCTGGTGTAAAATGACAGCCAGTCTGTTCCCATCCGACTGTCCATAGAGAAGAGCGGGCTGTGTCTGTGAAGGAGCCTGCTTCTCATGTGCTGAGCTGGAAGACTCCTGAGATTAGTTGCTGGAAAGTCCAACTCTGGATTTTACCATTGTTGCTAAGTGTCTGTTTACACTGCCTGTTTATGCAAGATGCAATTTCATGTCATAACACAAACTGCATGGTGTGTGGTAAAAAGTGAATTAAAACATGTTTTATGCATTTCCAGTTTACTCAGTAGAACCATAAAGTGGAATTCAAGGCTAGAACTGAACTTAAAACTGCTCCCACTGCCCCCTATACTAACTACGCTGTAGAAGAAATATCTGCATAATTACTTATTTCCAGGGCACCCTGGTCAACTTCCAGCAGCTGGCTTCAGGGCAAAGAAGGGACAGCTGACAACAGATGCCCCATGGTAAGCATATGGGTGACGCCACTGTCCAGGCATTCCATCAGTTATATGTTCTCTCTCCTCTGCCCTGAAGCCAGCCCCTGGGGAGATCACATGACCTGACTGGAGCATCCTCAGAATAGGTAAGTATATGCATCTTCCTTTTACAGGGTAGTTAATATAGGTGTTAGAAGGGGGAGGGGGCAGTTTTACGCTTAGTTCCAGCCTTGAATTACAATTTTATAAGGCAAAAATAGCATTTAATGGTCCTGAATGAAACTCTAATCAGTTGCAGGCACTGTTTGGGTATTCCACTAGCTCTGGCTGTCAGAATACAGTAGACTGACAGGAATTTGGGTCGAGGGTTGTGTGGAAGGAGGACTCTGTTAGTTTTATTCAGGCCACAGGCTGAACAAAAGAAATCTGTTAGTGTATAGGCAGGTTTAAGTGTTACTAAACCCACGACAGTAAAATCAGTCTGTGTATGCAGTAAAACATGCTTGTCGCAAACGTGCGCGCCAGAGCCTGACACAGTCCGCCATTTTGTTAAGAGTAGCCATGTTATTCCCTCCTTCATTCTCCTTCCCCCCCCCCCCCCCCCCCCCCCCCCCCCCCTCCCTTCCTGAGAGGCACAGTGACAGATGTGTGTGTTAAGTGTCACAGGCCAGATCCCCGCAGGGAGCCACGTGGTGAGGCACTGTCCAAAGAACCTGTGTAATTTCACACCTCGTAAAAAGAAAACTGAGCCATCCCAGGAGTTCAAGGCATTCCCAAGAAGCCCACACCAGCTAACATTTTTAAAAGATCCATTTTTCCCCCTATGTCTCATATCTTGGAATATGAGAGACATACATAAAAGCCGAACATATCGGATGGACGATGAGCAGGCGAACAGTTGGATGGGTCACTCGCCTTATCTCGGGCGCACGGGAAAGCAGAGAAATAGATGTCACGAACCGTGTAGCATACAACTTAATAATTCCTATCTGGTCAATCCTCAGAATTGTCTGCATAATAATCTACCCGCGGGTGGGAGGTCCCTGGTGCAGATGGAAGGTTATGGACCAGAATATGAGTTATGAAAGATGTTGGCTCCAGTTTAGGGCTCCGCCTGACGATTCCTCCCTAAACAGGGGATTGGTCCTCTACTTCAGAGCGACCCCCTGCTGGGAAACTTAAACAGGCTGTCAAGCCTAAGAGAAGTTAAGTTGAAGATATCTCCCATTTTAACATCAATATACCACCTTGGGAGACCTGTGCCTTTCCCTCTGAAACGTGATCTGTTTACATCCAAGGCTTAATGGCAAGTAACTTAACCCTTTAACTTCTCCGTTATCTCTTTGCTGTGCGGTTTTCTGTATATGTGTATATCTTAGTTACATCTTCTCTGTAAATATTTTTATTGCACCTGTTTGACCCTTTTAGTAATAAATCTCTTTCTGAAAGTGTTTGAACTGTTTTTCTATAGCTCTTAATTGCAATTTACGAATCCCTGCCTTTAAAGAGACGCTACTGTTTGTTTTAACCCTCTGTATAACAGGCATGTATTATGACCGGGTTATGCAGTCGATTATATCAACCATTACAGTGTTATAGCTGAACGTTGAGTTTCCTCTCTGAATAAAAATGAGGTGGTGGCAGTGTGAATGGTAATTGCCTAATTAACCTGACCCTGTAACAATCAATCCAGGCTGCTGGCACGTCGGTCTGTATCCATTAGCTGGAAAATCGTGTGCAGGGTACAGCTGGGTGTGGCATTGTTACGCACATCACATCGCGGTTTTAGGTCAGCTAGCCCTTCGGTCACGAGTTTTGGTGAGAAGATCTGGGATCTGACGCCGTGATCGTGACATAATAGACATTGCGGTCGTGGGATCGTCGTATGTTGGTGGCGGCAATTTTGCGATCCGTGACAATACTCACTGTAGAACCAAAGGGGTTAATCCTCTGCATTGTGTAAAAGGTTGTTTGATCCCATCTTCTTTGATCTTCTGCTGTTCCCAATCCATCTGCTGATAGTACAGAGCTCTAGGAGATGCTCTGCACATGCTCAGTTTAGTGTGTATGGCTACAGGGGGTTTTTTTTCCCTTTGGGAGGGTGCATGTGATTAGTACAGAGCCAATCATCACCGTCCAGACAGAGGGCCAGGGGTCATGCAGCCTCATAGGACAGTCAGGAGAATGAAAACTCCTACAAGATTAACCAGTACTCGCCCTCACACTGATAGAAAGAAATCAAAAGACTGCTGATGAGAATAGTTATTTAGCAGTTTATATTTACTATAATAATAATTGCATTTCTATGTACTGTGGGCAACCAGATATAGTGAGTGCAGGGTCCTGGCTTTATTAACACTTTGCGTCATTTCTCCTAAGTACAAATCTTATTTCCCAGAAGTCAATTGTGACCTCAAATAACCCAATTAACGCCTTATATCCAGTGAAAACATACCCATATAAAGGTTGCTAAGCCGTTCATACAGTATAACTGACTCATGCAACTCCTGTTTTTTTTGTTTTTTTTTTTTCCAGATATCTCCTTGCAAGTTTTTATACCAAATATGATGCAGTCCATTTCCTTATCAACACTTTGTCATTGATCAGCGTCCTCCTTCCAAAACTTCCGCAGTTTCATGGTGTCAGGATATTTGGGATAAACAAATACTGAAGAGGACTTGAGATCCAGATATCTGCCCTCTGCCGATCAGATAAGACCTGGTCTGCTCTGCAGAGTTTGCTGGGAAAGTTGATATTTATTCTTGTGCTGAAGATAACTGGCTGTGTTACCTGGTGTGCAAAGCAACTCTTCTTTTATGCAGTTGTCTTTTCTAACAGTGGTCTCATTGAAAATGGGCAGATGGATAACTTATCTGATGTGGCATGTCAAAACCCCAATACATCTTGGACAATGCCTTTTGTGCTTTAAAATCATTTAATTGATTTAGTTCAATCAGTCATAACATGTTTTTACTGACAGATGAAAAATGTACAGTGATAATCACCAGCTGTGCTCAAAAGGGTTATAAAGGAAGGAGAATATGCTTCTTTAATAGTGATCAGGGTAGTGTCTTTTTCCAGCTACTGTGAAAGATTGATGTTAGCCTTTATTGATTCTGCAGTAACTATTTCAGCATCTGTTTAAATGTACAATCCAGTCAATAGTGAATTTAAATTCCTGAATTTTGATTTTATTCAGATGTCACTGGATACCAGCTTGCTATTGAAAAGTGAAGGGGCTGCTGGTAATGTGGTGTTCTGGGCCTAGTTCTTTTTTTTTTTTTTTTTTAATTAAGTAGGTTAAACCTTCATTCCCGCTGCTTTTGTGGCTTGAGTAGTTGCCTAGCTACCACTGGCATGGTGGTAGTAAAGTGCTTCCTGCAAAAAGGATGTGTGTTCATAATCGCTTCTGGGAAAATTAGAGAGAGAAGGTGGGGCGCAGGCCTTGACTCAAGCTTAATGAAAATTAAATCAGATTTCTGACTGTCACACATTTACTGTGGTGTTTGGATTGCAGCAGCACAGTGTTTAATTTTACTTCTTCCCTGGAGGATATATATAATAAATTCACCACTTAAACTAAGAAGAGAAATTTAATAATATATATCAGAACAGGCTAAATTATATGAGCATAGTTTATGCAAATAGCTTTTTTTTTCTTTTAAATGACATTTACCTTGTTATGTTTACCAGACCATCTATCTCAAGCTGGGCAAATGCATTCCCATTAAGGGTAGCACATTTACTCTGGAAAGAAGGAATCTTGCAAGTAGACAAAATTGTAATGCAGCTGTTCATTTGAGGACTAAACCAGTCTGGCTGAAATCTGAGTCAACTCTTCCCAAAAATTCTGAATTTTCCCAAGGCAAGGACACTCATCAGTGCTGAAATGTGCAAAGTACCCATTTAATTACCTCTTTAGACACGAGGGCTTTATGTTTTGGTCCATTTAGTTTTGTAGCTTGCACCTTTTTTTTTATATATAGTACACACAATTTAAAGACAGAACTGACAGACATAACATAGGTTCTAAAAAGCAGTCACTCATAAACCTAGAATCCAGTAAGGTTTCCCGCCCCAGGAAAAAAAAAAAAATTCCTTACAGTATTAAGTTAATATAAAACAAATTATATATATCTTTTTTTTTTTTTTTTTTCCCCTTTTCATGCTGGTTAATCTATAACTCCACTTTCATTCATCACTTCAGCTCAAATCAGATCTCATAGATGAAATTAAAAAAAATTTGTTTACATCATGTATTCCAGTTACACCTTCCATGACATGAATGTTGTTTTAAAGCCCCCATTCACACCTGGGTGATTTAAAAGGTATGAAACTAGTCTAAAAATAGACTGCAAGGTCCTCTTGTTAGGTTTAGGTCTCTTTCCCCTCTGTTGCCAACTAGTATGTAAAATGGACCTGTAAAGATAGTCAATATACTCACCTTTCCCTGTCTTCAACCTGTGATGTCTTGGCGCCTGTAACATCTGACCACACTCCTTCAAGCAGAATCCTGCAAAGCAGCCCAAATCTTGTAACACTACACTGGGCTGGAGCTTATTTCTGTGAGATCTGGAGTATTCATTGTTTCCTAGGAATCCCGCTGGAAGGGTAGTAATATCACACATTGCAACAATAAGATGGGGGGGACTTTACAGACTGCTTTAAATTTGATTGTTTTCGGTCATTATGCTTTCTTTATACTTATCCAATACAAAATGATAATTGGCATTTATTCATATAGTTTTTTTGATGTAACCATATTCAGCATGCAAAATAAAAAAATGTTTCCCCCAAGCCTACATACAAAGGGATAGTTTGCTCGACTGCTTTGCATGCACCTTTTGTGTTTCCTGGCAATAGGTAAGCAACTCAGTATTTGCAATTCTTTTCATACCACTTTCATATAACTATAAGATAACAATGGTTCCAAAGCATGAAAACCAAATAACCTGCTCTTTGCTTCCGTTATCTTTAATGAGTGTCTGATACCCACAGAATGCTGGCAGCTGTGACTTTCTGAAAACAATCTCCTCTCAACTGCTAGCACAATTACTGTTACAGTTCCCTCTATAAATTGTGTATCATGTCTTGGCAGGCTACTGAGCTCCATATCAACACCCTCCCTCTATACCTTGTCTTAAAAAAAAAAAAATATATATATATATATAAAAAAAAAGTTTGGCTCTTTCATTTGACAGTATCACCAATTACTGTTCATATACAAACATGGCTGTTGGCAGAGGGTGAAAAGTCTATGTGAACAGGGCTTAGGGTCATCAATGTTTTATGCCCCTAATTCCATCCATTAAGAATTTGACCACAAAACTCATGCTGTGGCAGGCAGGATTTAGAGTATTTAATGGGCTTAGGGAGATGATCCAGCAAGCAGCAGCTTTGTGAGAAATTTGTCTTGGTGCTATTTAAACAGTGCTGGCATGAAAAGCTCTAATATATCCTTGCCTTTCTTGTTCTAGTTATGTACCGGCCAAGTACCTATGGACTATTCTATGAATAATAAGAATTGAATACAGCTAGGCCCTACAACATCTGCATTTGTCTTTCCACATTCCATTGTTGCTGCGTAAGCATTATCACAGCACCATGTTGATCTTAGAAATCATAGAAGAATCATTCATTCTATTTGCTAATCTGTTAAGAGTTAGATTTTTTTTTTTTTTATGACTTTACCTGCTCCTTAGAACTGCATGCACATACTAGAATTAAATTGGGGGATTGGTAAAAGAGAGAATATCTGAGCATAGAAAGTAAAGACAATTATACAAAAAAAAAAAAAAAAAAGCTACTACTGAGCGAGAATATGCTTTATTAACTCAGAGATGTAACACTGTTCTTAAAAGAGACATTTGTCACCTTGCCCATTCAGGGCAGAGTGATAGTGTCTTTGTAAATGGCAACTTCCACTCGGATACCCTCTTTTGTCTCAGCATGAAAATCCCTAGTGCCAGCTGGTGTTGGAACGTAAGAAGAGGGCTGGTATGATTCCCTCAATCAAGTGACAGTACACATGCCTACTAATTGGTTGGTAGACCCAAGCATTGTCACAGGGAAGAAGGTCGAGCTTTCCCCCCAGGCACAGAAACACTGCGTATTGTTGCTGGTTGCAATGGGCACAACAGAATGAAGTGCTGGCAAGGTGAGTATCAGAGGTTTTGGGGAGGTGACAGTGTCTCTTTACCTTAGATTTCTTGAGATGGTCATTGTAAGATGGTGGTAATGGTCAGCGTCTGATCTAATATTACATGCACGTTGGTGATAGTGGGGAGTTGATTGGGGCATTTTGCTGCATGTTCTGGAGAGTAAACCTAATTTTGTTCTGTGTACACCACTATAGTTAACAGAATGAACCATGCTGGATATAGGCACATTTTCTGCAGGGGTGAACAAGTAAATTTTAAGCACTAACAGCTTTAGTCTTGGAACAAGCAGGGACAGCCCTGGGGTGTGAATCTTAGAAAGAGAAGTCAGCAGAAGCAGCTTCTTGTTTTCAACTTTGCTTTTAAAGTGTATTTTTACTTCTGCAACCATTTATAGGTTTGTATTCCCATAGCATCCATATAGATAATTAAAATATTTCTTACCTTTCCAGTTGTTTCTTTGAAGAAAGTTTATACAAAAGGACTTTATAGGCCATTTATATTGCTAAGAATTGATGGCAATGTAAAGAATAGGGACAGCATGGGGTTTTTTGTTTTTTTTACTACCTGCAATGTGTCACCCAAGCTTTCAACTCTTTAACCCTTTGTTAGGACAGACAGTGTACACATCTAGTTTACAATTGATAATGGAGATAAGCAGGCACAGTCCAGACAGGGTTATGCATTGTGAACATTAACTTCCCTGCCCCCTTAACATTACACATCGGGGTAAAAGTTCAGTTTTATAGTTTTAGGAGTAGAGCATGTAAAAAAGTAAGCAGCAATTTAAAATATTTTTTCAACATTCTACCCTGTGAATAACATATACCAAATATAAATTGGGTGTTACAGCAATTTGGCTGCAAAAGTGGAAATACATTTGAAGGGGCCATGAAACAGGCTCTAATGGGCAAAGAAGAAAAAGAAACTAGGTGTTTTTTTTTTTTTTTTGGTCCATTGGCTACCCAAGTCCTTAGATTTTTCAAGCCCTGATTTAGCCCAAGCTTACACTGATACTTGGTTCACAGTAGATGTTATTCTTAATGTGACTGCCACAGAATGCACAGCAGGAAAGCCTCATCACCCTTCTGCATGTCCTTCCTGAAGATATTGCTGAAACACACACTTAACTAACATATTATTAAGATGTAGGCAAGCTCCTGAATATACTATATAGGGTACCAAAATAACTGGAATAAAAAAACAGACCAAAGCCTTCTATTTTCCAGGCATATCTCTTGATGCCTAATCTGTAAGTGTCTGTACATAAAAAAAAAATGTATAATTCCAATGTAATGTTCTGGCAACGTAAAACAATAAATGTGACAAACAATTGGCCTGATTTTTCATTCATAGCACTGCATACAGATCTAATTAGCTTTCAACCACTTTTTCAGTTTCTTTCCACCAACAGCAGACATCTGGAAACCGAGCTCAAGTATTCTTTGCACTGGTTAATAAATTAGTCTGTGAAAGGCTAGCATGGCTTGTAGAGAATTTTTTTTTTTTTTTT